TATAAGTCCACACTTCCACTTTATGAACTTATAAAGTCACTTTAAGGAATTGTGAACATATAAACTCATACGAAAACATTGTGAGGATATAAACTCAAACGAAAACATTGTGAGGATATAAACTCATACGAAAACATTGTGAGGATATAAACTCACTTTAAGGAATTGTGAACATATAAGCCCACACTTCCACTTTATGAACTTATAAAGTCACTTTAAGGAATTGTGAACATATAAACTCATACGAAAACATTGTGAGGATATAAACTCCTTTTTAACCCTTTTCACACGTGCTGCGTCTCTTACTCGTCATGGTATCTCTCACAACAATGCAATCGAAAAAGGGGTAAATATTCTGAGGTTAAATCCTCATTCTAAAATATTATGAGCTTATAAAGAATTGAATTGAAAGCAAGTGAAATTAAAAACGAAAATTTATATTGTAATAATTTATTTAAAAAATGATGAAGATGAAGATGAAGATGAAGATGATATTTCAGGTTTTTCTGGGCCGTCCGCGTTTTTTTTCCATTTTTTTTGGGGAGAGTGGTAATTTTTTTTTTACTTTTTTTTGACATTTTTTTGATTCGATAATGGTTGTTGTTGGCACTAGATCATTGATTCGATTTTTGTCTTTTTCGATCATTTTATTTGGGAGTGTTGTATCGCGGCTCTGCAGTTCGGCGATGAGTTCGTCCTGTTGCCGCACCTTTTCCTGTAGAGCCGCGATCTGTCCCCTAAGGGACAGCTTACGGCGGCTTTCCCGCTTCTGGGATTCCAAATCCCTCCTCTCCATCATCTTCTTCGTCCTTTCCTCGCACGATCTTCCCTGGGGGTAAACCCATTCCGCCTTCCTTTTCAGGACCTCTTTCTGGGATGATCGTGCCCGCCAGAGGAAATGACGAACGGCGTCCTGTAAATGCAAAAAAAGGAAAATGAGGAAGAAGCAAAAAAATTCAAATATAGTACCTCGAAGTCCTCGGGTGGGTTAATCGCCACTTTCTTGGTCCTTCCACCCGAGGGCATCGGCCGATCTCCCGCCATCGACAAAAACACCTCGTAATTCCTCCGTGCCGTCTGGTGTTTTTGCCCCACCACCCTGCTAATGTTTTCAAGTACTTTGATCGGCGGCACCAGAAAAAAGTACTTGCGCAACTCCACGATTATATCTATCGCGAAGCTGCGAATGGAGCCCATGACGTCCATTGTCTTCAATATGTTGGGCTCCAAAACATTAGCATTCAACACCTCGAACGCCCTGGGAAGCTTTGGAAATAGAAAATCTTCAGCTTTAAATTTTTCACTATCTAATAAGCTCCCAGGCTTCGCTGATGATTGCGTTGAGGATGTTGAAGGTGGTGGTGATGACGGTGATGAAGATGATGGAGTCGCCACCAACAATGATGATGTCGATGTCGATGCTGATGTTGAAGATGATGCTGATGCTGAAGATGATAATAATGGTGATAATGATGGTGATAATAATGGCGATAATGATGGTGATAATGATGGCAATAATGATGGTGATAATGATGCTGATACTTTAGAAAACATTATTCCAATTTCAATATTTTTCCTGATAAATAACTTTAAAACTATCAATATATTCAAATTAAATTTTTAGTTCACAATTACTTAGTCAATTCAAAACACAATAATAAACTTTTACAAACAATCTGGTATTTAAAAAATGACACCAAATCAAATAACAGTTGAATTGAATCAGTAAAACACGATAATAAACTTCTTATAATTATCCTGTATAAACAAATAACACTAACTCAGGTTACAATTGATTTTAATCAGTAACACACAATGAAAAACTTTTAAAAATGATGATAAATACAATAAAACAAATAACTCAAGAACACTTAAATTAACAGCATAAACAATAAATGAACAATTAAATCCAGTAAACGCCTTTATATATTGTAGTACGAGTTCGGGTACAATTATAACCAAAACTAAAGTGAATTCTTGTGTACGGATTGTTTCATTCATCATTGATTGTTGAATATTCTTTGGATTTGGTTGAATTCCTTATTATTTCATTAATTATTGATTGTTAAATATTTTATTGAATTGGTTGAATTCTGAAGCAATAAAAATATCTGGAAAATAGGACAAACTTCCTTTTTTGAATTCGTCGATTTTTTAAAAACAACGTTAATATGAGCGAAAAAAAGAATATTTTTTCTTCCTCTATTTATGAATCTGCATATAAAGAATTGAAAGAAATCGAAGAAATTGAACGAACTGGATTTTTGCAATCAAAAGGTGCCAAATGTCCAAACTGCTCCTGGATCGGCCGTACTAGAAAAGCTCTTGCATATCATGTGCAAACCAAGCACAAAACTGATTACAACGCATTAAAAGGTGGATCACAATTGCCTGTTGATTCCCCGATACAAATTATGGATCACCAAAACAATCATGACATCGTTAATTTTGAATTTTCTTCTGATATGGTAAACTTTTCAACAGATGTTTCATCTACTTTTATCGACAAAATCATGGGCTTTGGGCCAGAATTATCATCTAAAGCACTTTCTATGTTCGACAAAATTGTTGAACTACGCTACACGGAAAACGTTCCTGAATCAACATTTTCCCGAATCATTTCCACCATTTTGGACAATTTTTCCTTACAATTTTGTGATAAGAAAGACGAGAATACTGGCAAAATAATGACACTAATTCAACATTTTGCCTCGGATGTTTACCTACAAAAAATGTATGTAAAATATTCATGCAAAGTTATCGAACCAATTCCGACAAAAATTTCTGCCACATTTATTATCCAACGAATTTCTTTAAAAGAAATCGTTTCATTTGTTCTAAGCGATAAATCTTTACTTACAGAAATATGTAAAGAACAAAATCAAAAATACTATCGTCATTCATATAACAGCGAATTGAGTTGTAGTTATGAACGATGGAAGAGAATTAATGGGAAATTAAGAATAGTTCTTTATTCTGACGAATTCGGAATTGCCAATCCGATCGGGCATTCAGCATCAAAACATAATTATCTAGTGGTTTACTGCACATTTGAAAATATACCGTTGAAAAATCGTCTGAAACGTGATGATATATTTTTGTTATTAATTGCAAATCATAAGGACGTAAATCCAGAGTTATTAGATAAAATACTCAGTGATTTAGCCGAAGAACTATCTGACTTAATTGAAAATGGTTTTCAAAAAAATTTTGATGATGGAAAGACTTTGAATGTTCCCTGCACATTATCGGCATTGGTCGGGGATTCGAAAACCACATACCAGTTTACTGGTTATAGTGGCAGTTTTGGATTGTCGTACCGGTGTCGAATGTGTGGTGCCGATAATGCAACCATACAACTTGGACAAATGAATCGAAAAATGTTTGGTAGTGAAAGCGATTTAAAAGAATACTGGAAATTAGTCGAAAACGCCAGTGGCATTGATTTACCATATTGTGGGGAACGAGATTGGTTCGGATTGACAAGAACATTCAAATTCGGATCACAAGCAAATCAAATTAATCCATGGAACTGTGTTCCTGTAGATATCTGTCACGATTTGTTGGAAGGGACATCTTTTGATCGAATTTTGACATTATTTCTCAATGAACTGAATAACCAATTCGTCAGGAACAAAGAAAAAATAATAAAAACAATTACGGGTTATCAATTCAATGATACACCGTTTATCATTAATTCGGTGTCTGGTGGCTTTTCATTCACAGGGGACATGATTCAGGTGGCCGAATTCATCGTCCGAATTGAAGAAATTATTCTGTTTAAGTTTCCAAGAGTCATAAATGTAGATGCTGAAACCATTTTCAATTCTAATGCATTTAAACTTTATTCTCATTTTAAAAAGATTTGCATCATATCATTTCAATTATCAATAAGTTTAGAAGATATTCAATGCTTGAAAAAAAGCATTGATGCTCTTTTTCAACTAATCTATCGAATCTCACCATCAACGAAAATTACACCAAAAATGCATCACATAACACACTACCCAGCTCTAATAGAATATTTTGGTCCATTGATCAAATATTCCACTCTACCCTTTGAGCGTAAGCACCAATTTTTCAAAAAATGGTCACGCATAATATCGAATCATAAAAATCCATCATCATCATTGGCCATACGTCACCAATATCATCAGGCCATTATTAATAAAAAAATGTGCCATTTATCGAATCATACTAATAGTTCAGGTGTAAAGGCCAAAATTATGGATTTTATTTCATCAGGAGCAATCAAAATTAAAAAAAATATATATCAAACTAACAAAAAAATCATAAAACAAATAAACGAAAATACTGTCCCTTCTGCCCTTTTGTGGATGGAAGCCACCACATTCTGGAAAGTGAATGAGAATGTGGTGGTTCAAGGTTCCATCTACGAAAGGACAGAAGGGACAGTATTTTCGTTTCAGGTTTTAAAAAAAAAATTTCATTGCAAATTTGTCTATTTAAATAATTTGTCACCTATACAAGATTTTTATACAATCCATGAAGATAAAATACTTTTGATTGAATCTATAATTTAAATAAAACATAAAACTAAACAAAAAAAATGAAATAAAATCTAAAAATCTGAGTTTAAAAGTCCAATCGAAAAACGTTCACGTAGTTTGTGATTTTAAAAAATTAAAAAAAAAATCCAAAAATTCCAATTTTAAAACTCACACGAAAAGCATTGTGAGCTTGTAATTTTAAAAAATAAAATAAAATCAAAACTGTGATGTTATAACTCCATACGAGAAAAAATGTGAGTTTATAACTCCATACGAGAAAAAATGTGAGCTTGTAATTTTAAAAAATAAAATAAAATCAAAACTGTGATGTTATAACTCCATACGAGAAAAAATGTGAGTTTTTAATTTTAAAAAATAAAATTAAATCCAAAATTCGAATTTTTAAACTCATACGAAAAACGTTGTGATTTTATAACTCCAATCGAAAAACGTTGTGGTTTTATAACTCCATTCGAGAAACGTTGTGAGTTTATAACTTCATTCATGGAACATTATGAGTTTTTAATTTTAAAAAATAAAATTAAATCCAAAATTCGAATTTTTAAACTCATACGAAAAACGTTGTGGTTTTATAACTCCATTCGAGAAACGTTGTGAGTTTATAACTTCATTCATGGAACATTATGAGTTTTTAATTTTAAAAAATAAAATTAAATCCAAAATTCGAATTTTTAAACTCATACGAAAAACGTTGTGATTTTATAACTCCAATCGANATCGATCATTGATGAATGTTATGATGAAAAATCATTAAAAAACTCCCCCTTCCCAAAAAAAATGAGAACATTAAAAAAAATTGAAAAAGATCGATTCCGATCAATCTGTCAAACATGAATGTTTTTTTCTTTCTTTTTGATCAAAAATTTTTGAAATTTAATCAATTTTTTAAGTTTGTTTTTGTTTTTTGGTCTTGTTTGTTCAGGTAAAATAATCATCATTGAATTTCATTGAACAAGAATCGAGCAAGAATTGATATTGTCACATGATACACATTAATATATCGATTTTTTCTGTTTTTTGTTTCTGTTTTTTTCATTTTGTTTTCTCGATAATAATTCTATCGATTCTATATTTCTATCTATCTTCGAAACACACAACAGAATTGGAATAGTTTTCAATTTCTAAAAGTTCTGAATTTTATTTATTATTGAAAAAAAATATTTTCAATTTTCATTATGAAATGAACATTTTTCTTCAAGTTTTTTTTATAAAACCAAAACCAAACAAAGTTTCACAGCCAAAATTCTTTGATTATAGATCGAATTGAACAAAAGAAAATAACCGGATAATAAAATAATTTCCTGTTATTTATACCGAAAAAGAAACTAACGGATTAAAAATATGAAAAGAATTTATCAAGACAGACACAATCAACCAATAACCGGAATCAATCCATAAATATTTGCATTTACAGAAACGAAAACCCACCAAAAAAATAAGAAAACCAGAATTTTTTTTTCATATTTTTCCAATCTCATCTTGATGATGTAATAGGCCATGTCGTTATTGTTTGTTTGGTTGTTTTGCTTGCTTTATGTAAAATGTAAATTTTTCTTTCGTTTATTTGTTCGAATGTATCGAGGCAATAATATTTAAAGAATCGGAATGGGAAGAAAAAAAAATAGGAAAATTTTTTTTCCGATTTCTTTTCTCCATGTTGTTCGGTTGTTGTTGTTGTTGATAATAGAAATCATGCATAACAATAATGATAATAATTTTGAAAAAAAGAGAGAGCGAAAATGGCAATAAATTATTTAAAAATTAAATATTTTGACAAATATACAATCATCACACATCACACACCAAACACACACAACACCACACACAAACAAACAAACAAACATCGAACACAATGTGAAAATTTTGTAACGGATGGAAATATTTTTGCTCATTCTTCGCTTCACATAATAATGGAAATGATAATTTTCTAGATTTCATCATCATCATCATCATCATCAATTTTTCCGATCATCATCATTCTTATTCGTTCCCGCTTTGTTGTTTTCTATTTCTTACAGAAATTTTTTTTTTTACAGATATTTCAATATGATTCCGATAAATATATATGGGATTCGTGGATCGAAAATTTATGGAATGAATGTAGAGAATAATGGAAAATCAACAACAACAAAAATGATTTCTATAAATGTTTTTCGAAAAAAAATGAAATAATAATAAATGACGTTACCGATTCTGATTCCGGATATCATTGATGATGATGATGATGGCAAAATATAAGTAATGGTTTATCATTTCCTATTTATTTTCATGTTTGGTTTGTTTTGTTCTGTCTGTTTCGGTGAATATTCATCTTGGTTATTTTTCCTTTCTTTCTGGTCAAATTCTTTATTCTTTTAAAGATTTTTCAAACATTATTCTTTCGATTCCTTGAATCATTTATTTAAAAAAATCAACAGAATTTCATTTGATTCAGTTCAATTCCTTTATAATGAAAGAAAAACATGGCCTCTGGAATCTTTCATATCGATAATAATCTTTGGTATACCGAAGGGTTTAATTTCTTTTTCTGCTGTTAAAAAAAACTGTTCCATCCAAAAAAAAAAATCTGATTAGAAAAAAAATCAAATTTGTTTTGATTTCGATTTATGATTTTGGAAATTTTTTTTTGCTCCAAAATGAAACAGAAACATGTAAGAAATCAAAATCAAAAAGAAACAAAGAAAATGATTGTTTTTTTGGTCGTTCATGATGATGATTAGTATGACAGGAAATGTATGTATCAAATGTGTAAGTAAATGAAAATTTAAATTTAAATTAAAAAATTTCATTCAATTTTTGTTAATACTTTCGATTTTTGTCAGCCCCCATTCTTTCATTTTCATTTCAAAAAAAAATCTTCAATTTTTTTTCATCAAAATCAAATGAAATGAAATGAATCCGATGAAATGAGAGAATCATCATCATTTTACCCCTTTCACTTTTGGCATTCGATTTATGGCAAGGGGGTGGCCAGAATCATCAGTAAAAATCAAATTAGAAATCAGGCAATGATGATGATGACAACAGAAAAAAAAAACAAAACAAAACACGAGGGTAGAAATAGAATTTAAATACATTTTAAAAAATTTGAAATTTTTCATTCATTTCATAATGATTATTGGCTGATGAAATGATGCTATCGTGTGTGTGTGTGTATTTGAATGAGGAAATGCTGATGATGATGGTAGGGGTGTGAAAAGGTGTCATAATATTTTTTGAAAACGACGAATGAACAACAACAAACAAACAAAAAACAACAAATGTCAAAAATGACATATTCAAAATGAAGAATTCACACACACACACACAAGCAAGCAAACCAATTGAATACTAAATACCTTAAGCTTTTTCTCTGTTTCATTTCATTTCATATTTTTTTGTTTTTGAATTATGAATTTTTAATTTGTATTTATTTATTGAGTTTTTAAACAAAAATTTTGCCATTTTGAAATGATTCTGTCAAAAAATTATTATCGATTGTCAACGGTTTTGGAAACATTTGTTTCTGATGATGATGCTCCAAATTCAATAATATTCTTTGTCATCTACTTTATGAACGGGAAAATCGAACGATCGAGTCATTTCCAGTGTTCCATCCAGCAGCACATCATCCATAAATATACCGAGGAAACAGAAAAAAAAATTTCGATTTAAAAAATTTTTTTTTTGTTAAAAGAAAAATTTCATCGTAAATAACATTATTATTGAATTAATTGGTAATGGGAAAAAAACGAAGAAGAAGAATTTTTTCCAATTCTACACCAATCATCCGAATCAGAATCAGAATAAAAATCAAACGACACAGACCGAGGCGACATAAATTAATTTTTCTTTTTTTGTTGTTGCTTTTGCTGTCTCCTGAAGAAGAAAAAAAACAGAATTTGAAATCAACGAATAAAAAAAGTGTTAAATTAAATTTTTTTCATTTAAAATTTCGGTAACTGCTAACTTGATGATGATGATGATGGGCATTCAATTGATTCGAACATCATCATAGCCATTATCAACGTGTGTTTCAATATGAATTTTTTCATTTTCATTTTCATTTTTTTTTTTTGTTCTTTACTTTACGTCATAATGATTAATATTGAATAACTGTCAAACGAAACTGTTGTCATTGTCGTTGTGTGTGTGTGTTTTATTTTATTTTTTTTGTTTCTAGAATCGAAATGAAAATCGAAATGAATTTTGAAATGTCAAATGAAATGTGAAATGTCAAAAAAAAATATGAATCAGTTGTTGTTATCATCAGTTGTTGCTGATGAAATCAAAACAAAACAAAACAAAAAAATTGAAATTGAAAATGACAACGAAAAATAAATTTAAATTTTTTTTCAAATCAAAAAAAATTATATAATTAGTGTTCCACAAATAAATTAAACAGCACACACATTGAGTCGAAATAGAAAAAAGTTTTCTATCGAAGATATTGGTCAATGGTTTCACAAATATATAGAATCGAAATATCGATTGTTTCGGGAATTTTTGCAATTTAATTTCCATTTTTTTTCTCATTCACTGTTTTCATTTTTCTTAATTATTCCAAAACATTCATCATAATCATGATGAGAATTCATTGAGGGGGATGGTAAATGAATTGGAATTTTTTTCGTTCGATGATCGATATATCTGTTTTCTTTTTCGTGTTCATAAACAGAGTTCAGAAATTGCAATTGACAATCAGCCAGAACTTTTCAATGATAAATTTCATTCATTATTTGCAAGCAATTTGAGAGAAATTGAGAGAAACAAAAAAAAATTTGCCAATTTGAAAAACAAAGATAATTAGAAATTAACAGCCAGTCATTCATTGGAAAAATATACGTGGCCAAACTACCAAAATCGATATTTGCCTAATAATAATAATAATACCTTTGTGACAGCCAAGTTCTAAAGGTTGTCCTGTCCTGTAAATGGTGATCAATTAAAAAAAACCGAAACCGAAAATGAAAAATGGACATGGATGAAGATAATGATAATGACCAATGAGTTTTTTTCGGTTTTTCAGTTTT